CTACAAATACTGGATAAATCCACAAGCGAAACCCCAGGTGCAAAACTAAATATGCTGAGCAACCTTCCTGTAAGGTTCAATGACTCTATGTCAAATCCTTTTTAAGTTACATGCGACACAAGTTGAAAATTGCAAAAAATTTCTATATCAAGGGCAATAACTCTAAAAATACTAAATTAATCCTGACGAAAATACCCAGGTGCACAACTACACATGCTGACCAACATTCCTGTAAAGTTTTATGACTCTATGTCAAATCCTTTTTGAGTTACATGTGGCACAAGTTGAAAATTGCAAAATTTTACTAAGTCAAGGGCAATAACTCTAAAAATACTAAATAAATCCTGACGAAAATACCCAGGTGCACAACTACACATGCTGATCAACATTCCTGTAAAGTTTCATGACTCTAGGCCAAATACTTTTTGAGTTACATGCGACACAAGTTGAAAATTGCAAAATTTTACTAAGTCAAGGGCAATAACTCTAAACATACTAAAAATATTCAGACGAAAATACCCAGGTGCACAACTACACATGCTGATCAACATTCCTGTAAAGTTTCATGACTCTAGGCCAAATACTTTTTGAGTTACATGCGACACAAGTTGAAAATTGCAAAATTTTACTAAGTCAAGAGCAATAACTCTAAAAATACTAAAAATATCCAGACGAAAATACCCAGGTGCACAACTACACATGCTGATCAACATTCCTGTAAAGTTTCATGACTCTAGGTGTAATACTTTTTGAGTTACATGCGACACAAAAGTGAACAGACAGACTAAAGTGGGGGCACAAAAATGGATCTTGTGCACTGAACTTCCTCTCAATGTGCCTGACCATTGTATGAAGTTTAACTGAATTCCAACTAGTGGTTTTAAAATTATGCTGACCGGACAAGAAAAATGCAATGGAAAAGTAACAAAGGGCAATAACTCTGTAATTACTTTGGATAGAGTTATGATTCTTGTGCATTTCACTTCCTCTTATTGTGCTTGACCATTGCATGAAGTTGTTTTGAATTCCAACCAGTAGTTTTCAAGTTATGCTCCGGACAAGGAAAAGTAACAAAGGGCAATAACTCTGTAATTAGTCAAGATGGAGTTATGCTTCTTGTGCACTGCACTTCCTCTAAATGTGCTTGACCATTGTATGAAGTTGTATTGAATTCCAACCTTTAGTCTTCAAGTTATGCTCCGGACAAGGAAAACGCAACAATTTGCTGGACCGACCGACCACTGAGTGACTCCTATATACCCCCAAACTTTGTTTCGGGGGTATAATGAATGGAAACTGATGATGACGGAAGGGCAGAATGACGGAACAGGGTAACACTATATGCCCCAGCCATTTCATGGAGGGGCTTGAAAATAAAACAAGAGCCGGTTGAACTGGGTGATGCTCCCCGACTAGGTTTTGGACACAGAAAAGTATATCTTTTGTAGTTTCAGAGTTATGTCCCAGACAAAGTTCAAAGTGTGATAATTCCAAACTTAGGCAAGGCAGAGTAACTGTTCTTTGCACTGCACTTCTACTCAATGAGATCTATCTACCGACTTGCGCCTGACACATCGTCTCAATATGGTGATCATTTCTGTTAAATAGATGTTAATCCGACTTCAAATAACAAAGTTATGGGTCGTGCAAGGTAATGCTGTGACCTTGACCTTCAAGGTAGAGACCTAACCCCCTCCGTGGTCGAGGGGTTAGAGTTGATGACTTCTAATCCAGTTACCTCTCTGTCGTGGGTTCTATCCCCGGGAGATGCTTTGGTAGTTTAGCATGGAGGAAGGTAGTCTAGTACTGGTGTAACTCTCCAGGAGCGATGGTTAGGAAACTACCCGCCTATATGACTGATATACTGTTTGGAAAAGGCGTAAAATGAAACAAACAACAAGGTAGCGACCTAATTGTTGCATGTGACACGTCGTCTAAATATGGTGATCATTTCTGTAAAATAGTTGTATAATAAAACTGCAAATAACGAAGTTATGGGCCGGACACAATTTTGCTGCAAAGTCATGCTGTGACCTTGACCTCCAAGGTAGCAACCCAAATGTTGCGCGTGACACGTCTCAATATAGTGATCATTTCTATGAAATAGTTTAAAAATCCAACTTCAAATAACAAATTTATGGGCCGGACACGAGTTTGCTGCAAGGTTATGCCAAGACCTTGACCTTCAAGGTGTGACCCAAATGTTGGACCCAACACATCGTCTCAATATGGTTATCATTTCTGTTAAATAGTTTAAAAATCCAACTCCAAATAACAAAGTAATGGGCTGGACACGATTTCACTGCAAGATCCTGCTGTTACCTTGACCTTTAAGGTAGCGACCCAAATATTGCACATGAAACGTTGTCTCAATATGGTGTTCATATCTGTGAAATAGTTGTAAAATCCGACTTCAAATAACAAAGTTATGGGCTGGACACAATTTTGCTGCAAGGTCATGCTGTGACCTTGACCTTCAAGGTAGAGACCCAAATGTTGCTTGTCACACGTCGTCTCAATATGGTGATAATTTCTATGAAATAGTTTTAAAAATCCAACTTCAAATAACGAAATTATGGGCCGGACACAATTTTGCTGCTAGGTCATGCTGTGACCTTGACCTTCAAGGTAGCGACCAAAATTGGCGTGCAACACGTCGTCTCAATATGGTGATCATTTCTGTGAAATAGTTTAAAAATCCGACTTCAAATATAGAAGTTATGGGCCGGACACGAATTCGGGACGTACGTAAGTACGGACGGACGGACTGACAGACGTACTCACAAAATGGTACTTATGTGACATTTCCATTGATCTTTTTGGCCATTTTTAGTCACACAAGGCTTAAAAAAAGACACACAAGTAAAAACGGAATGAATAGGATCAATTTTTAAAATTGACTACCAAAGGAACCAGGGTTCAAACAAAAATCTGTCAACTAACTTTAAGCACTTTAAAAGACTTTTTAAGGCCAATTTTGCTCAGACACATCCTGCAATAGAGTTCTTATAAACAATCAAAGTGTCAAGCAAAGATTTCTATCTAAAAGCAAATTGTACACTTCAGGCACCTTATCACGATCATTTATCCTGCATTTTCCTTCGGGTGTTTCCTCTATTACATGTATTGCTTCTCTAATACTTAATGCACTTTCACTTTGTCCTATACATGTATAACATTTATTTCAATTATCTTCATGCATATCCGCCACTACTCTGGAATGGGCATTTCAAACATTTCTTTATATGATAAGCAACGTGAGCAAGAATTAACATTTTTTTCTTAGACTTTTTTATCCATAATTTTCAAAGTTTACTTTTTGTTTATACTCGTGAAAACCGGTAATGCAAAAAGTGATGATGTTGTACACATGTATACCAGGGCTCTCGATTGACACGGGGATCCGGGTTTTGACTCGTGAAAATCAGGAAATGCACAAATTTGACACGTGATAAAATCTGCACAAGAGTCAATTTGCCACGTGGGATTTTCAGCTATGCAATAATAATTACCTTAAATCTACTCCAAATTACCTATCAAATCCTACATATGTTCAAATCACACTCAAAAAAATGTCACTGTGTGTAATACACAGCATTGTTTATAGCCTGTGCACTGAAGCGCAACATTATTGGATGCAATTTGACAGCGCTAAAAATAGCTCTACACAACTGATAAGAATTACATACTTGAGGTGTCAATTATTGATTGCTTTTAAAGGTTTATGATACGTCTTTGATTTACTTGGAGTACATTTGTTATTTCCATTAAATATTCCTAGTGCATTTTGGTATTTAAAATTAATATGATATATTACTAAGCATACCAGTAAAGATATTTTTTATATTTTAAACTTTTAATCAGAAAAGCTGCTGCTTAATTTATTCTTTCACAGTAAAGATGCAATTCATTTTTTGTTTTTTTTTGTTTAAGTTGTCTTTTTTTTTTTGGGGGGGGGGGGGGGGAATATATACATTATAACTAGGCATTTTTTCCATGTAAAATATTATCAATTTAGACTTGAGAATCTACACAAAATGACCTCCAATACAGTAATTTTTGTAACATAAAAATGATTCATGTAGTCAAATGACACTAGAAAAAAATTATTTGACTCGCATGAAAATTTTGGCCAAAGAGTCTTTGACTCGTGATATTCTGACCCTACTGAGAGCCCTGTGTATACCTTTACCGATGAAGTAGAACACATTTTCTGTTCATGTTGTACTCATAAACATTTGTAACATAAATAAGTATGTGTAAATAAAAAAAATTTGCAAAGTTTTCCTTTCCATTTGAATGTTTAAATTTCCTTGTTAATTGATGATCACTTTTATTTTTACGAGAATCAGAGATTTTCAAGGATTTTTTTTCAAAATCAAGCCAATTTTTAGCACTTTTACAAGGACACCCTCAATTCAAGCACTTTTCAAGACAGAGATCGTTTTCAAGCACTTTTCAAGACCTGTGCGAACCCTGGACATTCCTGTGAAGTTTAGATGAAATTGGCTTAGCAGTTTATGAGGAGATGTCATTTAAAGTATAAGTTTACGGACAGACGCCAGACGAAAGTGATCACAAAAGCTCACCATGTCACTTTGTAACAGGTGAGCTAAAAACTGACCATTAGGGGGCCATAACTGTGCCCCCCACGAAAAAAATCAAGTGGAAAGATACTATGCACAACTAGGAATTGTGATAAAGAATCCTGTAAAGTTTCACTGAAATCCCCGCAGCGGTTTTGGAGATGAAGTGCAAACAAATTTATTTTACTCAAAAATCGACCATTAAGGGGGACATAACTGTGCAAATAATCATGAGACTTTGCACAACTAGGCAATAACGCACCCCCCCCCAAAGCGATTTTGGAGATGAAGCCCCCCCCCCTCCCCCCAAGCGGTTTTGGAGATGAAGCACGGACAAGCTATATACTATGCACAACTAGGCATGGTGACAAATAATCCTGTGAAGTTTCACTGAAATTCTCCAAGTGGTTTTGGATGAGGCGTGGACAAGATTATCAGACAAACGGACAGTGCAATTACTATATGCCCCCCTTCTGGGCATAAAAACTTGTTTTTCAAAACAATGAATTTTTGACAGTAAATTACTTACACTATGATTCTTCTAACTAGAAACCAGTATTTTCTGCCCAGTCTGTCATAACCAAGAGGATCTTGTCTACATAACAGACCTCCTTTCTCTGCTTCTGATACACAGTCTGTAACACCTTTAACCTGTAATGACCACAGAGATATTCAGGAAGTAGGCAAATGCTGGTTTTTCTCCATCTAATCCTGGGTGCAAACAACTCAGAATTTTAACATAGTACATGTAAATATAACTGTAATATTAAGCACAACACATTGATCATACTATTGTGAATGAAAGTGCATCATAAATTTATAACAGTCAAAGTTTGTTCACCGGGATTAGACGAGAAGAAACCCACATTTGACGAGCTTCGGATAACATCTATAATTCAAATTTTTTTATGAGTCTTTAACACTATCGGACACATCTTTTGAAAAAGACGGCCATGATGGCCCTGAAATTGCCCACCTGAATATGGAAACTCTCCATGACAAGGAACGAGTAATATTGTTAACTATCAAAAAAAAGCAGAATATAAAATCTAAAACTGATATCACAAAGTTCATATTTGTATCTGAAATAGTGCATATGTAAAAACATTACTGGTTGTTATTGCTAAGGGAAAACAAGAGTTCCAAAAGACGTGTACATATAAGGAAAATCAATAACCCCAGGAGGCGGGGCCAATTTTCACCCCAGGGTTTTTATTTGAACAACTTGGTAGATACTCTCAAGAAGATGTTTCATGCTAAATATCTAAGCTCAAGCTATTTGGGTTTTTTTTAAAAGATTTTTTTTTAAAGTTTTTACTATATACATATATGGAAAATCAATGCAACCCTGTGGAGGAGCCAATTTTGACCCTAGGGCTTTTATTTTAACAAACTTAGTAGATGTTTCATGCTAAATATCTTAGCTCTACCTATTTGAGTTTTTTTTAAAAGGAAGACTTTTTCAAGTTTTTACTATTTATACAGTGCACATCGGATACAACGAGATCGTCAGGATCATTTATTTCTACTTTCTCTTTTGCATGCATCTTCCTTGAAGAGTACATAATGGGAGGTAACTCTTTGCACTTAGAAGTTTTTGTTTTATTTAAATATACATTATATAAATATATCTTGCTATTACTGAATTTAAACAAAACATTTGAAAACACATACTACGCCTTACTGCATGTTTTTTTTTTAAATTATGTACATCTTAAATTTAGTGCAGTGTAGTTCTCACGAACATCAAATAACACTGCAAGAAATAAGCCGCTTCCTTTATGCTTATCACTCAATAAAAGTTGTTTAGTTAAAACATTTCGTCACCTAGAGGACAATTTGGCCTGGAGCGCTAAGGCTGACACATTAGATCGCTTATTGCTCAATCATTACTTCTTTAATTTACCTTTGTTTTCGATCACCATTGTTTTTCTCAATGACATGCCACTGGAGTGACCTCATTAATTTATGAAAATACATATGGGAAGGTGAATATATGTACCTTGTAACCAATATCTTGCTAAAACCGAATTCGTTATAAACAGTATAAACTCAAAAACTAAATAGTTCATGCTTAATATCTAAGCTCTAGCTATTTGGGTTTTTAAAAAGAAGACTTTGTAAGTTTTTACTACATACATATAAGGAAAATCAATTACCCCATCCCCCCTCCCCCCTGTAGGGCCAATTTTGACCCCAGGGCTTATATTTGAACAAACTTTGTAGACACACTCAAGAAGTTGTTTCATGCCAAATATCTAAGCTCTATTTTTTTGTTTGTTTTTTTAAAAGATGATTTTTTGTTTTCACTATATACATATAATGAAGATCAATAACCCCCTGAGGAGGAGCAAATTTAAATTATAGGGCTTTTATTTGAACAAACTTGGCAGAAACTTACTAGAAGATGTTTCATGCTTAATATCTGAGCTCTATCTATTTAGGTTTTTTAAAAGAAGATTTTTTTTAAGTTTTTACTATATACATATAAGGAAAATCAATGGGGCTGGGGCTGGGCCAATTTTGACCCCAGGGCTTTTATTTGAACAAATTTTGTAGACACTGACTAGACGATGTTTCATGCCAAATATTTAAGCTCTATCTCTTTTAGTTTTTTAAAAGAAGACTTTTTTAAGTTTTTTCTTTCGGTTGCCATGGCAACCAGAGTTCTGCATGGAATTAAATTCTTTCAACAATTTTTAAAGTTGACTACTAAAGGAACATTCCTGTGAAGTTTGGATGAAATTGGCTTAGTGGTTTATGAGGAGATGTCGTTTAAAGTAAAAGTTTAGAGACGGATGGACGGGAACCAAACGAAAAGCAATCACAAAAGCTCACCATGTCACTTTGTGACAGGTGAACTAAAAATGCTTATCAAAATTAATTGTATCGTCCTTCAAACAAAGTGCCACTTTTACACTTTCCCCTTGGTAGCCTTTGTTGACAGGTTTAACTGTAGTTTATATATCTTCATTTTTTGGTTCTTCAAACAGTCAAACTAAAACTAAAAGTTGTGCTGGAAAAATCAAGAGTTTCAGTTTTCCCCCATAAATAATGCATTATTATTATTATTATTATCATTATTATTATTATTATTATTAATTATTATTATTATGTAAGACTTATTGATCAATATAATTATTGTTCACTTGATGAGCTCTGCAGATGCTGCACAACCAATCATCATCTGGGACTTCTTCTAAAGGAGGGTCTACACATGTCAAATGGTACACTGCAGAGCATGTCTCACAACATAGAAGATCTCCCAATCTGAAATAAAATCATTTTATTCAAAATATACAAAATATAATTATAACAAGGAATACATCAAAAAATGTTTTCAGAAAAGGCATGCCAAGCCACACAAAATCTTATCTTTTTCACAAAGAAAATACAAGACTACTGTACGAAATATTTCAATGTCTCTCTGTATGCATATTTGTTGACGTTGATTAATTAACAAATACTGCTGTTCATATATTACAAATTTAGCTTATTTTAAATATGTTTAGATTCTGTACTTAATGCATTTTACTGCGTGTGAGTGTCTTTTTGTTATTATGTCTGGGAAAGAAAATGAACCCAAATTTTCTTTTCAAAACTAGTGAATACTGTAATGATTCCAGGCCTCAGCATTAGCAGTGGTTCGCTAGTCCGAGACCATCTCATTTTGGCAAGGTTAGGACGACCTTATTTTGTAAGCAATTGGTCCATCAAAAAATAAATTTAAACATACAAGGCAATATTTGCTTTTTTTAAGTACCTTAGGGTGTCTGTAACAACATTTTTGGAAAGAAAGGATAACTTTTTGGATACTTTTTCAAAATATTACATCTTTTGCGGACTGTGTGGGTAGGGGGATATACTTAAAGTCTGAATATCTTACAGTTTATGATAAAAATTGTTTTATTTCTCTTAATTTTATTAAAATATTAAGTATTCTGATAAATGTTACAAATTTTTTTTTTAGATATAAACAAATTTGCTTTCAAATTTTCAGTATTTTTCCCGCAAAGTAAAATTTTCAAACATGTTTGAAACAAAGAAGAAACAAGAGCCGGTTGAACCGGGTGATGCTCCCCAAGAAGGTTTTGGACACAGGAATGTATAAAAAAATGAACAAAGGGCAAAAACTCCAAAATTAGGCAAGGCAGAGTTATGGTTTTTGCACTGCACTTCTTTTCAATGAGATCTATTAAGTTTTGTGATAATATCTCTTAAAGTTTCAGAGTTATGTCCCGGGTAAAATTCAAAGTGTAAAAATGAACAAAGGGCAATAACTCCAAAATTAGACAAGGCTGTGTTTAGGTTCTTTAGAATTGCAGTTCTATCCAATGAGATCTATCTACATACAAAGTTTCATGTTGATATCTCTTATAGTTTTAGTGTTATGTCCTGGACAAAAGTCAAAAAGTAAAAATAAACAACAGACAATAACTTCAAAATAAGGCTTGGCGGAATTATGGTTCTTTAACAATGCACTTCTACCCAATGAGACCCATTTACCTACAAAGTTTCATGTTGATATCTCTTATAGTTTTAGAGTAATGTTCTAGACAAAGTATCAAAATGAACAAAGGGCAATAACTCAAAAATTAGGCAAGACATAGTTATGGTTCTTTAACAATGCACTTCTACTCAATGAGATCTATCTACCTACAAAGTTTCATATTGATATCTCTTATACTTTTAGAGTTATGTCCCGGACAAAGTTCAAAGTGTAAAAATAAACAAAGGGCAATAATTCAAGTATTAGACAAGGCAGAGTTACAGTTCTTGTGCACTGCACACCTACTCAATGAGATCTATCTACCTACAAAGTTTCATGTTGATATCTCTTATAGTTTTAGAGTTATGTCCCGGACAAAGTTCAAAGTGTAAAAATAAACAAAGGGCAATAACTCAAAAATTAGGCAAGGCAGAGTTACGGTTCTTGTGCACTGCACACCTACTCAATGAGGTCTATCTACCTACAAAGTTTCATGTTGATACCTCTTGTTGTTTCAAAGTTATGTCCCAGACAAGAAAAGCAGACGGACAGACAAAGCGGCCACTATACAGTCTTCGACTTAACCCACTCGACCGACGACCGAGTCGAGTAAATTTGCGGGTGGTCGAGTGAAAATTCCAAGCTGGTAGCCCGTCTGGTCGAGGGCTTTTTTCATATCCAAATTAAGAAAATGTTGGAAATATGCAGAGCTTCAGATAGCAATGTTTTGGCTTTATGAAAATACAATATATTTCTGCTGAATTGGATGGAAAACTAAAAGTACTATTGTCAACACTGCTGTAAGTTGAAAACGAAAGTACCAGGAAGTGACATCGAGTAAAAAGGGAAGGTAACTCTTGGGAGTTTCTGAAATGAATTTATTGATCAAGTTAAATTTGGTGTAATCATCTAGGACTTAACCTAATATTCAATTTGTTTAGACATATATTATAATGTTTTTGCTACAAAATAAAGAAAAATGTTGTACTTGCCACTTTAGTTATTGGAAAACATATTTCTCTCTTGCCATCTGCAGTTTTGTACTCAATATTGTCGTACCAAGTTTACAGTTACGGACAATTTCCTCAAAGACTAATTCTTTGTGTATAAAAGTTTTAATTCTATTATATTTATTTTTCATTAATTCTAATTTTAATCATAAATAATCAAAACCAAAGAGCGGCACTAAAATGTAGACTGTAGAAATAGAGTATGAATAAAGCCTCATGCTGACCATGTAGCTGATTGTAAAAGAATGTGACACATTCAAACAACAACATGTCAGCAACAAAAAAATGAGTCTTGTCATTAATTTGCTGTGTAACCTTAACAAACCCTAGTCTAGGGAAGCCTGCCTTAACAGAGCAAGTTTTGTATTATTTAACGTTGAATCAACATTTTATTATATAAGTCAGTCTGATTTATGTAAAGAAAGGAACTTTTTAGAAGGCAATGGAATTTGATAACAAAACAATGCAAATTCTTTTTATAAATTTTACCCCAGAATTTTCATTTTACTCTAGATTTTGATGGGTAAACCACCTTGGCCCTAAAAATTATTTGCAGCTTTATTAAACTTAAAACACTTATGAAATATTATTGATTGTTAGACATTTATTAGGCGTCATCTTGTGCTGCACAATATGTCTTTTCTCTTGTATTTTGAAGGCACTAAGCCAAAAAGGAACACACCAAAAATAAACAAGAGCTGTCACTGGAGACAGCCAAGCTCGACTAATAAAATACTGGACGCAGTAAGGAGGACAAAACTATGAAAGAAAAAACAATTATGTATAATTATGTATTAAGTTATAGTAAACAAGAGGGCCATGATGGCCCAAAGTCGCTCACCTGTATATAGGCCCCTGGAGCGGGGCCAGTTTAAACCCCAGGGCTTTTATTTGAACAAACTTGGTTGTATATGTATGCATGTATATATATATATATATATATATATATATATATATATATATATATATATATATATATATATATATATATATACATACATACATACATACCAGTGATTTTCTCGCTTAATTGGGAAGAAGCCTTAGCCTCTTGATTTTGGGAAAAAATTATCGCTAAAATTGCCAATTTGGGAAGAAAAAAGCATGTTTCAGTTCAGATTTTTGGGAAAACTGCATGATTTAAAAAAAATTTCAATTGGGAAGAGGCCCTTTTTCTGGAGTCTGTTATATATGTAGGAAAATCACTGCATACATATATAGATATATATATATATATATATATATATATATACATATATATATATATATACACAACATACATACATATATATATATATATATATATATATACATAATATGTATATATATATATGTATATATATATATATGTATATATATATATACATTTATATATATATATATTTATATATATATATATATATATATATATATATATATATATATATATATATATATAATATATATATATATATATTAAATATATATGTGTATATATATAATATGTATATATCTAAAAAAAAAAAAGTCAAGATAATGAATGACCCCCGGGGCGGGGCCAATTTTGACCCCAGGGCTTTTATTTGAACAAACTTGGTAGACACCCATGAGAACATGTTTCATGCTAAATATCTTAGCTCTAGCTCTTTGAGTTCTTTAAAAGAAGATTTTTTAAGTTTTTACTATATGCACATAGGGAAAATCAATGACCCCTGGGGGCGGGGCAATTTTGACCCTAGGGCTTTTATTTGAACAAACTTTGTAGACACTCATTAGAAGATGTTTCATGCTAAATATCTTAGCTCTAGCTCTATGGGTTCTTTAAAAGAAGATTTTTTAAGTTTTAACTATATGCATATAGGGAAAATCAAAGACACCCTGGGGCGGGGCCAATTTTGACCCTAGGGCTTTTATTTGAACAAACTTGGTAGACACTCACTAGAAGATGTTTCATGCTTTATATCTAAACACTAGCTATCTGGGTTTTTTCAAAGAAGATTTTTAAGTTTTGCTATACACAGTCATATAAGGAAAATCAATGACCCCCGGGCGGGGCCAATTTTGGCCCTAGGGCTTTGATTTGAACAAACTTTGTAGACACTCACTAGAAGATGTTTCATGCTTTATAGCTAAACTCCAGCTATTTGGGTTTTTTTTAAAGAAGATTTTTTAAGTTTTTGCTATACACATATAAGGAAAATCAATGACCCCCGGGGCGGAGCCAATTTTGACCCCAGGGCTTTTATTTGAACAAACTTGGTAGACACCCATTAGAACATGTTTCATGCTAAATATCTTAGCTCTAGCTCTTTGAGTTCTTTAAAAGAAGATTTTTTAAGTTTTTACTATATGCATATAGGGAAAATCAATGACCCCTGGGGCAGGGCCAATTTTGACCCTAGGGCTTTGATTTGAACAAACTTGGTAGGCACTCATTAGAAGATGTTTCATGCCAAATATCTAAGCTCTAGCTCTTACGGTTTTTTAGAAGAAGATTTTTTAAAGTTTTTCTTATTGGTTGCCATGGCAACCAGAGTTTTTAATGGAATTTAAATTTTTGAACAACTTTGAAAGGGGTCCACCTAAGGATCATTTCTGTAAAGTTTGGTTGCAATTGGCCATGTAGTTTAGGAGGAGATGTTGTTTGAAAAGTTTGACGCCATTTTTTGAAGGACGCACGACGCACGACGCACGCAGAGTGATGACAAAAGCTCACCTTTGAGCACTTCGTGCTCAGGTGAGCTAAAAAAATATCATTTGTTAACATAAATTCCAAGATCAAGGGGAATAATTCTAGAAAAAGTCATGCTAGAGTTATGAACCTTTCACACAACATGTGTGTAATGATAAGAAATATATATTTGAAGTTTGAAGTAGATACCTTAAAAAGTAAAGAAGTTATAATAATCAAAAGTTCAAAGAAAGATAAATCTGTAAATATTGCTTCAAGAGTTACGAACATTGTCACATAAAATGTAATTGATGATAAGGAATAAGTATTAGAAGTTTGAGGTAGATACCTTAACAAGAGGGCCATGATGGCCCTGAGGTCGCTCACCTGTATATAGCCCCCCCCCCCCCCCCCGCCCAATTTTTACCCAAGGGCTTCTATTTGTTTATTTGAACAGACTTGGTAGACACCCATAGGAAGTTGTTTCATGCAAAACATCTAAGTTCTAGCTCATTGGGTTTTTTAAAAGAAGATTTTTTAAGTTTTTACTATACACATACAGTTAAAAACAATGACACCCTCGGGCAGGGCCAGTTTTGACCCCTGGGCTTTTATTTGAACAAACTTTGTAGATATTTACTTAAAGATGTTTCATGCTTAATATCTAAACTCTAGTTATTTGGGTTTTTTCAAAGAAGATTTTTAAGTTTTTGCTATGTATATAAGGAAAATCAATGACCCCCGGGGCGGGGCCAGTTTTGACCCTGGGGCTTTTATTTGAACAAACTTGGTAGACACCCATTAGAACATGTCTCATGCTAAATATCTTAGCTCTAGCTCTTACAGTTCTTTAAAAGAAGATTTTATAAGTTTTTACTATATGCATATAAGGAATATCAATGACCCCCTGGGGCGGGGCCAATTTTGACCCCAGGGCTTTTATTTGAACAAACTTGGTAGACATTCACTAGAAGATGTTTCATGCCAAATATCTAAGCTCTAGCTCTTACGATTCTTTAAAAGAAGATTTTTTAAGTTTTTACTATATGCATATAGGGAAAATCAATGACCCCCGGGGCGGGGCCAATTTTGACCCCAGGGCTTTTATTTGAACAAACTTGGTAGACATTCACTAGAAGATGTTTCATGCCAAATATCTTAGCTCTAGCTCTTACAGTTCTTTAAAAGAAGATTTTTTAAATTTTTACTTTATGCATATAGGGAAAATCAATGACCCCCTGGGGCGGGGCCAATTTGGACCCCAGGGCTTTTATTTGAACAAACTTGGTAGACATTCACCAGAAGATGTTTCATCCCAAATATCTAAGCTCTAGCTCTTACAGTTCTTTAAAAGAAGATTTTTTAAGTTTATACTATATGCATATAGGGAAAATCAATGACCCCCTGGGGCGGGGCCAATTTTGACCCCAGGGCTTTTATTTGAACAAACTTGGTAGACATTTACTAGAAGATGTTTTATGCCAAATACCTAAGCTCTAGCTCTTACGGTTCTTTAAAAGAAGATTTTTTTAAGTTTTTACTATATGCATATAGGGAAAATCAATTACCCCCCAGGGTGGGGCCAATTTTGACCCCAGGGCTTTTATTTGAACAAACTTGGTAAACATTCACTAGAAGATGTTTCATGCCAAATATCTAAGCTCTAGCTCTTTGGGTTCTTTAAAAGAAGATTTTTTAATTTTTTACTTTATGCATATAGGGAAAATCAATGACCCCCTGGGGCGGGGCCAATTTTGACCCCAGGGCTTTTTTTTGAACAAACTTGGTAGACATTCACTAGAAGATGTTTCATGCCAAATATCTAAGCTCTAGCTCTTACAGTTCTTTAAAAGAAGATTTTTTAAGTGTTTACTATATGCATATAGGGAAAATCAATGACCCCCCTGGGGCGGGGCCAATTTTGACCCCAGGGCTTTTATTTGAACAAACTTGGTAGACACTCACTAGAAGATGTTCCATGCCAAATATCTTAGCTCTAGCTCTTACAGTTCTTTAAAAGAAGATTTTTTAAGTTTTTACTATATGCATATAGGGAAAATCAATGACCCCCCGGGGCGGGGCCAATTTTGACCCCAGGGCTTTTATTTGAACAAACTTGGTAGACACTCATTAGAAGATGTTTCATGCCAAATATCTAAGCTCTAGCTCTTACAGTTCTTTAAAAGAAGATTTTTTAAGTGTTTACTATATGCATATAGGGAAAATCAATGACCCCCTGGGGCGGGGCCAGTTTTGACCCCAGGGCTTTTATTTGAACAAACTTGGTAGACACTCACTAGAAGATGTTCCATGCCAAATATCTTAGCTCTAGCTCTTACAGTTCTTTAAAAGAAGATTTTTTAAGTTTTTACTATATGCATATAGGGAAAATCAATGACCCCCCCCCCGGGGCGGGGCCAATTTTGACCCCAGGGCTTTTATTTGAACAAACTTGGTAGACACTCATTAGAAGATGTTTCATGCCAAATATCTAAGCTCTAACTCTTAGGGTTGTTTAAAAGAAGACATTTAAAGATTTTTCTTTCGGTTGCCATGGCAACCAGAGTTCTGCATGGAATTAAATTCTTTGAACAATTTTAAAAGGTGACCACCAAAGGAACATTCCTGTGAAGTTTGGATGAAATTGGCTCAGTGGTTTATGAGGAGATGTCTTTTAAAGCAAAAGTTTACGGACGGACGACGGACGGACGACGGACGGACGGACGCCGGACGAAAAGCGATCACAAAAGCTCACCCTGTCACTTTGTGACAGGTGAGCTAAAAACTAAAAAAGTTATAGTAAAAAATAACATTTTTCTAGTAATTTCTAAGTTTATGGGGAGATAATTCTTGCAATATTAGTGCTAGAGTTATGAACCTTGCCACATAAGATGTGGATGATGATAAGTTACATATATTTGAAGTATGAAGTTGATCCCTTTAGAAATAAGTAAGTAACAGTAAAAACTAGTATTTTTTAAGGAAAATTCGAACTTCAAGGGGAGATCAATCTGAAAATATTGGTGCTAGAGTTATGAACCTTGTCACATAAGATGGGGATGATGATAAGGTACATATATTTGAAGTATGAGGTTGATCCCTTAAGAAATAAAGAAGTAACAGTAAAAAATAGTATTTTTTGAGGAAAATTCTAAGTTCAAGGGGAGATAAATCTGAAAATATTTGTGCTAGAGTTATGAACCTTGTCACATAAGATGGGGATGATGATAAGGTACATATATTTGAAGTATGAGGTTGATCCCTTAAGAAATAAAGAAGTAACAGTAAAAAATAGTATTTTTTAAGGAAAATTCTAAGTTCAAGGGGAGATAAATCTGAAAAAAATTGGTGCTAGAGTTATGAACCTTGTCACATAAGATGTGGTTGATGATAAGGAACATATATTTCAAGTTTGAAGTTGATACTTTAAGAAATGACAAAGTTATAGTGAAAAATATTTTACTGCACCAAAACTTTAATCTGAAATCTGGACGCGGACGTGGACGCCGACACCGGGGCAAGTAGGACAGCTCTCCATATACTTCGTATAGTCGAGCTAAAAAGTAATACGAAAAGGAATATAAATATGTCGTCAATGCATGTATCAGCCGACATGGTTACAGTAAACGAGGAGAAGAGTATTTTCAGTTTTTAAACAATTTTTTTCAGTGTCTGTGGACAATGCCACGCCACAGAAATATCAAAATATCTTCTTTTCATATGTAGTTTAAACTCTTCTTATTTAAATAATGAAAGGAAGAAAAGTTGATTAGTTGATATTTTAATAATGTTAAATGGTATATAAAACATAGAAAGTGTTATTTTTGTACAAAATGTATGCAAAAAATACCATTTTGGTTCGGGCTAGTTAAAATGTGTTTGGGCTAGTGAAATTTGTAAGCTGCTAGCCCGACTGGGCTAGTGCTGATAAAAAATTAAGGCGAAGACTGCTATATGCTCACCCTTCCGGAAGCATAACAGCAACAGACCGGCAAACGTATAGGGGATATTGTAAATCATTCACAAATATATGTTTCACTTAACTTAATTATAAGTTAGCTTGCTTTTTTTTTAATCATCTGCCGCATTCGTTATCATTCATGGTCTTTCACAGCTTTAATTTACCCTATAATTTAATGTATAAACAAAGCGCTATTTTTAGCGATGTCGGTTTACAACTGTTGCTGTGGCCACGTTTCAGCTTGTCTGCTAATTATGTCGGATTACACAATTAAATCTCGGTAATTCTGTAATTAGTCAAAATGGAGTTATGGTTCTTGTGCACTGCACTTCCTCTTATTGTGCTTGACCATTGTATAAAGATGTTTTAAATTCCAACCAGTATGTTTTAAGTTATGCTCCGGACAAGGAAAAGTAACAAAGGGCAATAACTCTGTAATTTGTCAAAATGGAGTTATAATTCTTGTGCACTGCATTTCCTTTAAATGTGCTTGACAACTGCATGAAGTTGTAATGAATTCCAACCGGTAGTTTTCAAGTTAGTGCTCCAGACAAAGAAAAGTAACAAAAGGCAATAACTCTGTCATTAGTCAAGATGGAGTTATGGTTCTCATGCACTGCACTTCCTCTCAATGTGCTTGACCATTGTATGAAGTTATATTGAATTCCAACCATTAGTCTTCAAGTTATGCTCCGGACAAAAAAGCAATGGAAAAGTAACAAAGGGCAATAACTCTGTAATTAGTCAAGATGGAGTTATGGTTCTTGTGCACGGCACTTCCCCTTATTGTGCTTGACCATTGTATGAAGTTGTTTTGAATTCCAACCAGTAGTTTTCAAGTTATGCTCCGGACAAGGAAAAGTAACAAAGGGCAGTTACTCTGTAATTAGTCAAATGGAGTTATGGTTCTTGTGCACTGCACTTCCTCTCAATGTGCTTGACCATTGTATGAAGTTATATTCAATTCCAACCATTAGTCTTCAAGTTATAGTCCGGACAAAAGAAAGCAATGGAAAAATAACAAAGGGCAATAACTCTGTAATTACTTTAGATAGAGTTATGGTTCTTGTGCACTGCACTTCCCCTTATTGTGCTTGACAATTGTATGAAGTTGTTTCGAGTTTCAACCAGTAGTTTTCAAGTTATGATCCCGACAAGGAAAAGTAACAAAGGGCAATAACTCTGTAATTAGTCAAGATGGAGTTATGGTTCTTGTGCACTCCACTTCCTCTCAATGTGCTTGACCATTGTATGAAGTTATATTGAATTCCAACCATTAGTCTTCAAGTTATGCTCCGGACAAGGAAAATGCAACGGACCGCTGGACTGACCGACTGACCAACCGACCGCCTAACCGACCACCGGGTGACTCCTATATACCCCCCCAAACTTCGTTTTTGGGGGTATAATAACAGTAACTCAAGGACAATAACTCTGACAAAACTAAATTAATCCACAAATAAAACCCCAGGGCCTGTGTTCACAAAAAATTAAGGATCAAGATCAGGATCAAATTTAAAAACTCTAATATTCTTCATTGTTTATCCACATAGATTAAATATCTAATCTTAATTTGATAAAACTGGACTTGCAATAGCAAGTTTATGAAATTTTAGAATAAATTTGTTGTTATTTTTGCAAGATACGGGCATTTTACAGTTGATCCAAATATTAATCCTGATCCTAAAATTGATCCTTATTTTGATCCGTATATTTATGTATTTGTTTTGTAATTTGTCGATTTTATCCCAAAAAAGTTGTTCCTTCTTTGCAAATCAACAATTTTTTACATTTTGCATATTTACCATTCAATTCTAGCAAAACACTATTAATTAAATAGTAACATAAAACAAGAGCCATGTCAACATGGCCATCCCCTGCCAAATGTGTTTGCTCATTGGAAGAATGTATATGTAGTAGAGCAGAATAATTCCATTTTAAGAGGTCTTTTGGTAATGAAAACTGATGGCTATAGTGATTACATGTACAGATTTGAAACCTATGTGAATACTGATGGCTGAAAATAACAAAGGGCAATAACTGAAAAATAATGCAGGGTAGGTTATCATTCTTGTGTGCTGCATCCCTCCTCAGTAAAATCTATCCACCTATGAAGTTTCAAGTTGATACCTCAAATACTTTTTGAGAAAAAAATTGAATTGAAAAATTAAGTATGAAAAATAACAAAGGGCAATAACTCAAAAATTATAAAAGGTAGAGTTATCATTCTTGTGCACTGCACACCTTCTCAGTTAGATCTATGCACCTATGAAGTTTCATAATGATATCTCAAAGGCCTTTTGAGTTATGCTCTGGACAAAAATTAATTTTGAAAAATAACAAAGGGCAATAACTAAACAATTATGCAGGGTAGAGTTATCGTTCTTGTGCACTGCACTCCTCCTCAATGAGATCCATCCAGCTATGAAGTTTCAAGTTGATACCTCAAATACTTTTTGAGATAAGCTCCGGACAAAATAGTATGAAAAAGAACAAAGGGCAATAACTAAAAAATTGTATAGGGAAGAGTTATCATTCTTGTGCACAGCATTCCTCCTCAATAAGATCTATCCACCTATGACATTTCATGTTGACATCTCAAACACTTTTTGAGTTATGCTCCACTCAGGTGAAAAATTAAGTATGAAAAATAACAAAGGGCAATAACTCAAAAATTATGAAAGGTAGAGTTATCATTCTTGTGCACTGCACACCTCCTGAGTGAGATCTATGCACCTATGAAGTTTCATGTTGATATCTCATAGGCTTTTTGAGTTATGCTCTGGACAAAAATCAATTTTGAAAAATAACAAAGGGCAATAACTCAAAAATTATGCAGGGTAGAGTTATCATTCTTGTGCACTGCACTCCTCCTCAATGAGGTCTATCCACCTATGAAGTTTCAAGTTGAAAACTAAAATACTTTTAGAGATATGCTCCGGACAAAAATGTCGGACGGAAGGACGGGTCAGACGGACAGACGGAGACTATTACTATACCGAAAAGGCGGCGGGGGATAATAATGAAAATAAAATCAGGATCACTTGATCCTGATCTTTTCTTAGTGAACACGGGACCAGGTGTACAACTTTACATGCTGATCAACATTCCTGTAAATTTTGTTGACAAGCTTAAGCACATTTTAGAGCTACATGTGACCCAACATGAGAACACATGAGAACGCCCCCAATTAAAATATCATAAAGGGCCATAACTCTGACAAAAATCATTGAACCGGGAAATGCCAACAATATGCAAAACTAGACTTGGTAATGATCATTCCTGTAGTTAGGATGAAAAATGCACTGGTCAGTAGTTTTCGAAGAGTAGCAGTACTTTGGGAGTAGTGCCGGTACCAGACAGATTGGGAAAAAAACCATCGGTTTGACTCAAATTGGGAATTTTACATAAGATGCAAAACATTCTTTGGAGACATGAAAATTATGCATAATAAATACTTTAAAATCATGTATTATTAACTTTATGCTTCTTGAGGTTGAAAAAAAAAAGATAACCACAACAATTGTACATAAATAATGTTAAGGGTGTGAAACACTAAAAGTACGAAATTAACTGGGTACGAATATCACTCGTGTGGTTATACTTGGTTTTTATCACAGATCACTTATCAATGGCATTTCTGTTTTTGTTTACCTTTAAAATTGCCGATTTTTGAGAAAATTTTCAGTGTTATTTTGGGAATTTATCAGTCATTAATTGGGAAATTTGTTGTCTATTTTCTATTGGAAACGGTGCCGTATTCTGGTATCAGTTATATAAGGAAAAAAAACACTGAGTAGTTCGGACAAGTTTTGTGACAGCAACGGAAAAGTGAACCCTATATGTCGCCACTACTCTATAGCAGGCAACGCAAAAACTAATTCATACTTATGACATGCTCTACAATGGTCATCATATGTAATGTTGCCTTCATTAAGAATCTCTTCTCGGACTTTGTTTGTTGTTAAGAATATGTCTGTAAGGGTTTGAAGCACTTTCAGTTTATCAGACACACTAACAAATGGAAAATCTGGCAACTCTAAAATTCCTATTGCTTCCTGATAATCATCAGAACTGTTTTTATCACTTTCTAAGTAGGATTTTGCAACTTCTGGCCATGTCATTGCATCGTTAAAAAAGTATGTTATGTTGATACTATCTTTGGAGTCTGATGGACCAAATGTTGTACTATTACTATCTTCTTCTCTAAGAATAGCTTTAATCATCATAACATGTATTTCTGTATATAAGCTACATTGTTCTTCACCTAGTAATGATGCACAAAAATCTTCAAATGTAAAAGGCGATAACCTAACAATGGTTCTAAAATGGCGTACAATTTCATAAATTCCTAAACATTGCATCAAATATTCAGTTGGCATTAACAAGTCAGTAGAACTTGGAGGTAAATTTAATGGCGGTATTTCAATATCATCTAACAATTCTGGACTTTTGGGGCGACGAAAAAATACAACTCGTCTTTTACCAGATGTACTGTTACTTTCAACACTAAAGTCTGAATCAGATTCATCATCTTCGTTGTACGAGATATCAGAATCTCCATCAAGATTTGACATGTTGTCAAGGTTTTCACTGTCTGGACCAAGAGAACCAGCACCAGCACTATCTCTCGACATTTCATCATCATCATCAAAAAGATTCTGAATAAAACTTCTTCCCCTACTTGCAGCATCCCTTCTACCTTTGTCATATTTATTTCTTGTTGGTGTTGATGCTGGGGATATACTGAGAGGGGTACTCGATCGAGAATTACTGTCACCAACAAATCCACCTCCAAAGGCCTTTGGCTTTCTCAAAAAATTTGCAGATCTTGGTGTTGCAGTCCTTGGTGGCCTCCCACGACCTCTGCTGCCTCTGCCAGGCATGTCTACAGCGAATTGAGGTGACTGACACCTCAAAATGTCAGTTATGCAAATGTAAACAAACACACGTGCTCATGGCCTCAGATTTACGCGAATAAGAATCCATGTTTGTAAATTTGGAGGCCGCCATTTTCCATAATGAAGTCACGTGATAAATTGTGTATTCCTTCAAAGCGGCGATTTCAAACATCCGCTATATACCCAACTTTTCGGAAAGGCCAATCAAATATTTCATACGTTATTTAATCATTATTCGGTAATTCTTGATTTTAACTTTTATCATAAAGACAGAAATTACTGTCTTTCACTCGTTTTCTCCTCTTTTCTTAGCTGTTACCGATCCAACGCGGCTATGCGTGCCGCTTTGAAACCGTGTACGGCATTGGATGAATGTTTGATTGGAAAATTGAGAAACGTTTAAAAGATAAAGTTTTTAAACTTCTTTCTTCATAAGAATCAACTAAACTTATACAGGCTAAGAGGAATTCGATATTGGGGGCTTTAGAATTTTAGTAAATAGTGTACTTTAACTGAACGAACTAAAATCGACCACATAGTATTGACCAATCAAATCACTTGTAACAAAAATAACATTGTGTCTTATAAAAGGATGACTAACGAGGTTTCGCGAGAGAAAACGAGATCTTTCCTTTATAGTTGCCATTAAATGCTGAAATTGTTCTTTACAATGAGAAAAAAAAACAGCAACAAAAACATAGTTATATTTTTTCGGAAATAATACAGCTTGTAAAGTTGTAGTCTTCGTAAACAACAAAACCTTGGACAACAGGGAGGGTTTCAATATATTCAGCCGGGGTCGTCTCAAACATACCTCGATTGAGGACCTTATCAGGGTGGTAGCAAGACACTTCATCCTCCAGACACTTCACCCCTCAAATTTTGAAGACACTTCACCCCTTAAGACACTTCACCCCCCAAAATCAGTAAGACACTTCACCCCTCATCCATTTTTTTTCTATAAAGTAAATAAAACAAATTAGTCAACAACAAAATGCTTATATATGTTTATATTAATTACTTTTAGTATTATTTGATTAAAAATTTTGCTTAATACCTTTATTTTTACTAAGTTTAAAGCTGATTTAGGTTAATTGGTTGTATTGCCAAATGATATACAAAGCACTTTCATCTATTAAGTGTTTATTGCATGTCACCTTGTTTATTCAACATGTTGATTGGTTGTTTATTCAACAGTTATCTCATAATTGATTAGATAATTGAATTAAAATGGTATAATTGTATGAAAATTAAATTTTTAATTTTTATAATATTGAATTGAATGAATGAATGAATGAATGAATGAATGAATGAATGAATGGAATGGAATGGAATGTGGAATGGCATGGCATGGCATGGCATGGCATGGCATGGAATGAAATGAAATGAATATAAATGAATATGAATGAATGAATTAGTTGCTTTATAAAATATAGTAAACATAAGTTATTTACCATCATTATCAGATACAATTATCCTGCATTTAATACAAAGATCATTCATAATGTCAATACAATCAGTGTTTTTTTTCTTTATATAACTACTACCCTAAAACGGTACTGTTCCCAATAGAAAATACATTGTAGACATTAAAATTCCCAATTTTCAATGTTTAAATTCCCAAAATGGTTGTTCAAAATTGCCACAAGGCCATGTGATTTCTCTGAAATCATTTAAATCCAATATATTCATATAAATCACCACTCAATAGTTCTACCTGGACAGTGGAAGCTGTTAGCTATCTTTATTCATGATGACTAATCTTATTTGTAGCAGAAAAAATGCATGAACAAAATCCCAATATAAGTCAAAATAACGCATTTTTTCCCAATCAATCTGGTACCGGCACCATTCCCAAAGTAGAGAAAAAAACACTGACAATAATCATAATTCATTACAGATAACTAACAGCTTTGTATTCCTGTTTTGCTTTTAATCCATTTAACAAGATACTGTCAATTAAAGACACAAAGTAAGTGTGAAAGAGATTATATACTCTTATAATATATCAAAGGAAAATTCACACAAAGGTTCACACACTTTACTAGAAAGTTATATATGTTAAAACAATAACATACTCAATCACTATTGAATGTATTTAACAATTTCTATATAAATAATTGTTAAACACAAAATAAAAAAATGAGGGGTGAAGTGTCTCAATCAAATTTCTTAAAATGAGGGGTGAACTGTCTGAGGGGTGAAGTGTCTGCAAAAATGGGCCTAGGGTGAAGTGTCTGGGGGGTGAAGTGTCTGTAAGCCATCAGGGTTTGTCGACCGTTCAACGGCTAAATATTTCAGTTACTAAGATTTAGTTTTCGGAAAAAGAAATAGTTAGCACTTTCTTGATCCAAAACAGGATATACTGTACGGTATTTTATTAGAATCTAATTAAAATAAAAGGTGATAATTTGTTTTTGTATAGTGCCACCAATGCTTTCCAGCGTTTTAATTGTAGTAGAATGGCTATAAGACTAATTGCAACACTGATATTCGATCCAATGTTTATTTGACTTAAACAATTTGAAAAAAAAATGAGTTGCCTTAACTGGGATTTGAACTTCAGACCTCTCGCTTCCTAAGCGAGCGTGGAAACCCCTCGGCCACGGTGAATTTATATGTTATTGGCCTGAAGAAAACCATATTATTCTAGTTAGGGTTTGTAACGACGCTATAGCTGTTGTTTAACACTTGTGTAAATAATCATGGCGCTTACTATAAGCATGTATATCTGTAAAGAATAAAACAATATTAGAAATATTCGACCATTCGGGAATTATTTTGCTTGAAAATTAATCCGCCTGTCATGTTACCATATTTACGCAGTGATCTCCCCTAAATTTTTCCGCCTAAGTGTTACATATAAAGGGAAGTAACCGCTTCAAAAAAAGCGGACTACTTTCGGCACTTGCAATTAACAGCATAAGAATACCATTATTTGTTTGGTCTGACGACCCAAACAAATAAAAAATGGTCTCGCTACGTTTATAAATCAAAGCACTGCAAGCACTGAGGTATACATTGCTTGACACTATACATAAAGGCCATGTTGATTTTAACCAACTGACTTCAAAATAAATAGGGGAACGGTCAATGTTCCTAACAAGTTACACAAACCTATGCTTAAATATTCTTCTCAAGTTATTGACGGAACAAGGGAAGAGGTGACTTTTCTACAGACAAGGGTTGTGTTATGCCAGGCCAAAGGCTAGTCGTACTTTATGTTTTGCGAAAAACGGAAAATGAAGAGCAATACAAAAATCAGTTTGCGAAACACCTGTTTATTGACTACAGTATACAATATTAAAACAGTAATATGGAGTCTTCAGTGTTATTATCTATTACTAAAAAGAAATGACCAACATGCGGGCTTGTAGTCAATCACCCAGCTAGACTTACTGTAAGGTGAACGTTTTGGTTTACACGCAAAACGTACACTTTTGAAAATGAATACATGCACTGCACGTTATAATATGCGCTAATCACAACGAACATTACATTATGAAATACGCAGAACACATGCAAAACGATATGTCACGGTTCAGAACTGTTCACTATTTAGGGGTGATCGTGTGTAAGCGGACGGATAGCTCAGTTGGTAGAGACGCGGTACGGTATTCTGAGGGTCCCGGGTTCGAGTCCCGGTCAGGCTGCACATTTTTCTCACCCATTGACATTTGGCGCCCAACGTGGGACCGTGACTGAATAAAGCTCAGAGTTTAATTTACATTGCTCTGTAACTCTGTGAAATTTGAGGATGAATTTCAATATAGCAGGGGAGTATGTCACGGTTCAGAATTGTTCACTATTTAGGTGTAAGTGGCCGGATAGTTCAGTCGGTAGAGCCGCGATACGGTATTCCGAGGGTCTAGGGTTCAAGTCACGGTCAGGCTGCACATTTTGCTCACGTTGTGACAGATATACAGTACCCTAATTGAAATGCTAAAATATTCTGAGTATTTTTCCATGTAAACCAACCTTACAGAGCTTAAACCATAAAGCATGCCTGTAAACAGAATCAAAGGCCTTCTTTATATCTATAAAATCGCAATAAAGGCGAAAATTTTGTGATAAAAATATTCGATTAAAGAAATTAAAACGAAAATCGTGGCAACTGCGCTCGCACTGTGAAGAAAGTCGAACTGAGCATCCGACAATACGTTAAATTGGCTCATGTACAGACTCAATCAAACCGAGTCTGCAATTCTCTTGTAATTTTGTTGTGATTAATGCTTCCGAGGAATCACTTTGTCTCCAGATTTTTACCCAATTTTCAAAAGGCTTTGTTAAAACACTTTAGTAAACAATTTTAAGTGTTATTCCTCTGTAGTTATTGGGAGAATTATTGCCCTCTTTTTTTATGCCCCCCCCCCCCCTTCGAAGATGAGGGGTCCCCCCCTTCGAAGAAGAGGGGGTATATTGTTTTGCAAATGTCGGTCCGTCTGTCTGTACGTCTGTACGTCGGTAGACCACATGGTTTCTGCTGATTATCTTGAAAACTATTTATCACAAAGTCTTCATATTTCACATAGTGATTGGTCATAACTATTAGATGACCCTTATTGATTTTTGGTCACTAGTTCAAAGGTCAAGGTCACAGGGGCCTTAAATGTCAGAATGGTTTCCGCTCATTATCTTGAAAACTATTTATCACAAAGTCTTCATTATTTTTCTTTTTTCCATAACTGAACACTTCCATGTACCCATTTATGGCAAGTTTCTATAACAAACTAACCAATAATGTGAGTGGTCTAGAAAGGGGGGCAGATGTGTCGTTGGGCATTTCTTGTTTATAAAAATTGAGATGAGATAACCATATGACCAGGCGTTGGGAAAAAGGCCTGAATCAAATATTTTATTTAAACAGTCGGTTGAAATGACATGCAACTGCTAGTATTTCCGCAGTTTGTAGTAAATACTCATTATCAGTAAATTATCAGCAGGATATGTGGCTTCATTAAGATTCACACGACTTATAGCTTCACGAACTTCTTCTGTGGTTATTGTGGTATTTAACGACTCAAACGTAGGACTATTTACGTTAAACAATGTGGCCATACCACGTGACTTATCGGGTACGGAGCACGCCGATTTTTCACCCGATTCAGGTATGTTTTTTATTCATAACTTATTTATTACTCAACCGATTTTGATCAGGTAATAATATCAGCTTTCCACGGTATATCAAAATTCTGAAAATCCCTGAATGGTTTTTGAGTACATTCGAGTACAGTTTTCTTCTCATAGCCGAGGCCGAGGGGAACGGTACACACTCATTTGTCATAACAAGCCATTTCTAGCAAGTCATATGTTTTTGTCGCTATTTCATAGAAAATACATGTTAAATCTGATATATTTACTATGTCCAATGTATCGAGTGAATGCAGTGATGTTTTAGCATAATTTCATAAAGTTATGTTGAAATGGTACGGAGCACACTGCTATTTCAAAAGATACGGTACACACACAATTTCTGTCTTTGAAATAATTCTAAAATAAAATATATGAAAATTTAATTTGAATTAT